CACGCGGGCCGGTGGCTGGGTGGGTGGGTGCGCTAAGAAAACAGTGCTGGGAAGGCGCGGGGGGGTCGCTGCGACCCTTCCCAGCCGTGTAGCGAGCTGTGTACACCCATCTTGTTACCAGCGCTGGTGGCCGATCTGACCTCCAGCACAGGGACCTCAGCGCTGCCCTCCGGTAAAGAGAGGCGTCGCTGCACTTTCATTAGAGTCTTGTTTATTTTCAAGTTGCTTCCTAGGTATACACGCAGAACACACTCTGGAGACACCATCCATGACCAAGGCCAGACAGTGGAGGACATCAGGGGTTTAGAAATGGTTCCCCTCTGCTCTGGACAAATTCAGCCCAGGGTTAGGGCTGGGCTCTGAGAACGTCTAGTGACTTTCAGGCCTACAGTCTCAATCAACACCAGGTTGGGTGGGTTTCTAAAGGCCTCCACGGTCGCCTAGCAGCCAATCCCAGATGGCCACACCTTAAGTTAGCTCCACATGCACATATATGTACACACAAGCACACACATTTTTAAATTCATCAGCATGAATAGCCCCTTGAAGAAAAGCCCAAGACGGCCATCACGTTGCACATGCTTAACTATTTTTATCTCAAAGAGACTGACAAATTAAGCTCCGAATGGGGGGTGGGGGGTGGGGGGGAATGTTTACTAAAAGCACAGCAGCTTACTTATTAGGGCTCAAGTACACATATGTAGGGACACTGGATTAATGTGGTCATAGAAACATGACAAATAAGCGCTGCACTTTGTACGAATTTGTTCAGACACTATCTTTATTTTGTCTTGTTCCTGGTCTAAAATCAAAGCATTTATTCCTAAGCAAAATACAAGCACAGCAAATTATGTTCCTTTCTTTATCATTCCCAATCAGCCAACATGACGGAAAATGGGTGCCTGCTCCAAATTTCATGTCCAGGCAAGAGGGAAGGAAGATGCTCTGCTGTCTTCTGATGGCAATGAGATGAACACTGGGTATAGATGGACCTGAGACACACATTCCCACAGAACTAGTAGCAACCCACCTAATGCCACAGCATTTTGGTTTGGGGATCTTCTCAGAACCTTGTTGTAAAGCTCCAGAATTACTTAAGAGGAATTGAAAGCCTTGATGCTTCTGAGACCCAGCATGTGAGTTGAGGAAATGAGAGGACGGAGCTGGAAAAGAGATTGTACTTCTGCAAAGGGGCAGCCAGAACGAAACATAACCCCATTCCCAGAGAAAGAAAAGCTTCCTTATTCTTCCCTCCTTTGCTGCATAGAGTCTCACTTTACAGATGTCCCCAACCTGATTCCTTGGGTGGCATATTGACCATAACCAAGCATTCTCAGGATGGGTCTGCATGACAGTCCTCAACTGAGGATTATATTCCCTGCGACTTTGAATGGAGAGTGAAACCCTTCCTCCATTTGGATGCCAAGTGTTTTAGACTCCACTTTAAAGAGTGAGGTCAAGTATTCCTCAGAAATGTGTGCATTAACTCTTTGTCTTTGGGCATTAATGAGGTGGCAGAGGGACCATTGGCCTGACTCAGGAGTCCTGGGTTTGAATCTGAGATCTGTGATGGAGACCTTCCAACAACCTATGGACTTTTCATTTCCCAAGATGTCTTCCACTTTTAAGAGCCAATGGATGAGCCTTTTGCCAGCTTTGCCTGGCTGGGTTCTAGAAGGAGGGTAGCACCAGGAAGAGAAAAGAACAAGACGCAGGGAGTGGAGACTGTATCCAGAGTCTGAAAGGCCTGTGTTTTCCTTCTTTATTCTCGTCTGCCAAACAAAAAGCTTTTTATTGCCAGTCTTCGCCACCTACTGGTTGATGTTTAACAATATCATTCAGAAAGTTTCTTCATCTATCACCAATATAAATATTTCCAAAGTTTATGAAATTCAAAAAGAACTAGTCTAATTTGGAAATTCTATACTAATATTTAATATAGGTATGCATAAAATCTTCCAAACTATTAAACTTTTTACTTAAAATGAGGATAGAAAGACAGCATTAACTGAGAGGAAATTTACAACTAATAGGTAAGATGAAAGAGCTAAAATATAAAACATGACCCGAACCATTCAGGCAAATGGAAATAAAAATAAATCCATACACAAAACAAACTGACTAGAGAGAGTAAAATCAAGTAGTCCACATAGTCTTCACAAAGGAAAAAATAAACTGCTTAAAAAATAACATTTCACAGACCTAGATAAACAATCCAAAACACTAATTTCCAATTTCGAGTATCTTCTAAATTATTGTTTCCAGATTTATTGAAATATAGTTGGCATAGTATTTTATACTTTATAAATTCTTATGCTAAATAGTGCCACACTCTTTCAGATAGTTTGCATGCTTTGCTGGCAAAAATTATGTAATAATGTTACTAATTAATTACTAATATAAATACTAACAGTAATATTCTTCCCAATTCACCTATGCTCCAGTGTCTTCTGCTGTAAGAGTGATCACATCTGAGTTGTCTGCTCTGTGCTCTCAAACCATCCTTGTCATCATCAGGAAACCTTTGCCAAATCTAAACCAACGAGCTTTGGTTTAACCTAGAAACCCACCTGGCTAATTTATAATGGTTCCTAAACCTCAAAATATGTTTACAATAATTAAGCAACAACCTTTGAAACTAGGCAACGAACAACAGATCAATCATCCTTTGTGCAAGTTTCACAGCAGGCAAATGTTGCTTACTTTTGGTTTACAAAGGAAAGCACCGGAAATTCACTCGTGGTAATTTTTTCCTTTCAACTTAATGACTGCTTTTAAAGTGAAATAAAAGAAGAGGAGAAACTTATACTTTTCAAATGCCTACTGCTCTCATTGGATTGAAACTGCACTAACAGAACCAAACAACATGAAACACCATGGAAGTGAGGGGGTTAACAAATAATTTACATTCTTAATGTGCAAAAAACAAATGTTATTCTCTTTGCTAGTAGGCACAGAGCACAGTATCTCCCAGATATTAATTCCTGATGAACAAGGGTACTTATTGTGTTTGATTCCTAAGGCTGGCATGACAAAATACCACAACCTGGGGGCTTAAAACAGAAATGTATTCTCCCACAGTTCTGGAGGCCTAGAATCCAAAATCAAGGTGTGGGAAGGGCCATGTTGCCTCCTAAGCTCCAAGGGAAAGGCCTTCCTTGCCTCTTCCAGCTTCTGGTGGTGGCTGGCAGACCTTGGCTTGTGGCTGCATCACTTTTCTCTGCCTCTGTGGCCACAGGGCGTTCTGCCTGTGTGTCTCTGTTTTCCCCTTTTGTAAGCTCGCCAGTCATTGTGGTTTAGGACCCTAATAAACTCATCTTAACTTGGTTATTTCTGTAAAGACCCTATTTCCAAATAAGGCCATATCTGCAGGTACTGGGGGTTAGGACATCAACTTGTTTTGAGGGCACACCACTGAACCCATAATATGCATCCAATATGATACCTTTGAAGGCCCAAGGACTCAGCAAACTTTGAGTTTCAAGAGGGAACCACGATCTTTCTAAAGCTGAAATCTGGCCATGTTTCTGCTTAAAGTTGTTTAGAGACTAAAATCTCAGCTCCTTTGCATAATGTGGCCCAAACCCCCATCTGGGCACCCTTCCACTTTTCTTTCTTCTTGCAGCTATATTACCTTTGTGTACTTTCTGGAATATGCCAAGATCTCCCACATCTTTTGTCTCTGCACCTCTGCTTGTCTCTCTGAAATACACCCAACCTCATGGCAAATTCACACTCATTCCTCAAGTTTCATCGCCCCTGGAAGATCATCCCTGACTTTCCTGGGAGCCCCATTTCACTTGTACCACTAGAAGAGATTTTGTACAGAGGATGGGAACTTAGAAGTCAGAAAAAAGGGATCTGAATCCTCACTCTATCGCTTAATAGGTGTGACCTTAAGCGAGTTCCTGTGCCCTCATTTATAACACAGGGATATAAATGGTACTTCAGTAGCCCCATGCACCGCATCCTCAGTTTCACTTACCCACAGTCAAACGAGGCCAAAAATATTAAATGGAAAATTCCAGAAGTAAGCTATTCCTAAGTTTTAAATTGCGCACTGTTCTGAGTATCATCATGAACTCTCTCGCCATCCCGCTATGTTCCACCTGGGAGGTGGACACTCCCCACCCATTAGTCACTTAGTAGCCATCTTATCAGATCAGCAGTCCTGGTGTTGTAGTGCTTGTGGTTGTCACCCTAATTTTATTCAGTAATGCCACACTCACATAACTTTCATAGCAGCAGATTATTATAATTTTTCTATTATATTACTAGTTATTGTTTTTAACTTCTTACTGTGCCTAATCTGTAACTTCAACTCAATCATACGGTATAGGAAAACCATAGTATCTATAGGATGCGGTACTATCTGAGGTCTCAGACATCCCCTTGGGTGTCTTAGAACATATCCCCCTGGAAGAAGGAGGGACTAAGTACTCAGAAAGTTAGAGTATGATTCAAATGAGTTCAACGTCAAGTGTTCACAACAGTGACTGGTACTGGCTATGTTTTCAACATTAGGTATTTATATCTTAATCATAACTAATGTCCAGTCCACAATGTTAATTTCTGGCATATTTTTCCCTCTATACACCATTTGAGAGCAGCGACCCTTTTTCCTTTGAGCATTCCAAGCCTAAAATAGTGCATGGTATTCAGTATTTGTGGCATACATTTCAGAAGCCCCAAGCCAAAGCAAGAATGGGGAGTGGTCCTCTTTCTCCGGGAAGACTTGTAAAAGCCCTCAGAGGGGAGGGAAAGTAGCAAGAAATGTCATTGCAGAGGGAGGGACACGTGGTTTGTGCAGAGTTATATCCCCCTGTGCCCGGATACTGAGCTCATTGTAGCCACTCAACAAATATATGTGAATCAGAGAAAATGGAAGTTATAAAATCTGAGATTTAGAAGTGGAATAGAAGACATTTTTTTTTCTTCTTTTTAAAGGTCCAAAAATAAAAATTATAGAAGTGATACCGTATGCCATTTATGTATATAAATTGCTCAAATTTAAAGAAAGTGAAGGTTGCAAACCAAGATATCCAAGGAATCTCTTCTCATTGTGACCCAAGTTTTTCTATTAAAGGACTGAGAAAATATGAAGGCATGTTCTTTATATATCAGTATTTTATGCCTTCAAAGTCTAAGAGATATTTCATTATTGGAATATGAAGGTTTAAACTATGGGAAATCAATTTATTTATACTAGTATATATAAAAGCCTAAGCGACTGGATGACCAGACGGTAGCTATGATGTGCACTGACCACCAGGGGACAGACGCTCAATGCAGGAGCTACCCCTGGTGGTCAGTGTGCTCCCGCAGCTGAAGCACCACTCAGCTGACAGATGAGCGCCAGATGCCGGGTTCACAGCTGGCGAGCGCAGCTGTGGTGGTGCTAGTCTCTCTCGTGGACACTTCCCCTGCGCGCCCAGTGGGCGGGGACAGTGGGCTGGAGCCCAATGAGCTGGCAGACAAGGCCAGGCCACAGCAGCATGGAGGTCCACTGATCCCCACAGGCCAGGCCAAGGGACCCCACTGGTGCACGATTCCGTGCACCAGGCCTCTAGTTTGTACATAACACATAATTACTTAAGAAATTTGACTAAATTCCACATTTCTTACAGTTTTACTCATATATCCCATATCGGAGTTACACAAACACACAACATATTTGAAACAAGAGCTCATTATATCAACTACTTAACTCTGAAAAATCACCTCCTAAAAATGATCAAAATAAAGCTTTGTCAAGTGTTTAAAATGCAAGGTTAGAAAACCTTATGGTAGAGGTTTGTGTTTTGCTTAAGTGTCTCTTTGAAAACACAAATTTCTAGCAAAGTAAGTTTTTAAATCTGCAAAGTTAATTCACCATTTATTTTTTGTTGGGATTCAGAAATACAAGGTATGAAAATTAGGTTACAATTCTGGCGCAAAAACTTCCAAAGTAGCAAATACAAGATCTTGGATATATCAAAATAGCCCTGTGCATTCTTAAGTCACTAGAGTCCTGGCCGGGTGGTTCAGTTGGAGAAACACCATCCCATACACTAAAATATTGCAGGTTTTATCAGGGGGTGTGTGGGAAGCAACAGATCAATGTTTCTCTCTCTCTCCCCCTAAAATCAATAAAAACATATCCTCAGGTGAGGATTTTATAAATAAAACTAGAGAAATAAAAAACATATTTAGAGTTGTGACATCAAAATGGCTATTGTAAAATGGCCATTATCTTCCCTACAAAATATCAAATCTTCCATGACTGCACTGAACTAAAAGAGATTTAGTCTAGAAAATGGAAGGTTATAATTAGTAGGTAGTTTTTAAAGCTGAGTTAGTAAGCACTAAAATAAATAAGAAAGATACAAAGCATCTTACGTCAAAAAGTATGAATATCTAAGTGTCCTCTAGTGAGTAAGACAAGATTAAAATAGAATATGATGTAATAAAATTAACTCTGTTAATGATATAGTTCAGTAAAAAAAAAAAAATTACTATAGTTTCGACTTCTTCTAGAAAAACAATGACATACAATTCTTTGAATCTTGAATTGAAGCAAAACTGCTACCGAAATGCTTTTGTCATCTGAATATTGAAAGCAGTCTCTCAAAGTTTCACTTTGATATATGGTTTAACAGAACCAAATAAAGATTTATAACTCAACACGAGTTATCACTGTAAAGAGGCCATCGTTAACATTGTTTTCTTCTCTTTTCAGCTATGAAAATTAAATTTAAAAACAGAGAAAAGAACAATTCGCTTGACTTTTGTTTTTGTAAAAAAAAAAAAAAGGTGCTCTCCCTCCAGGGAGCACGCCCATGCCTTTTCCTTTCTCTCCCCCAACCCCTCACCCAGGCACCTTACCATTAGCTTCCTCACTCCCAAGCTCCAAGAGCCCTTCTTTTACCTCTATAACTTGTTTCCTAAGAGGAATTACTTTTTCTACCTCAGTAATTTACCCAATAAGTATTTTCTTAGTTTGAAAAAAAGAGTATTTTTTATACCTTTTTCAATTATGAAAGGCCCTTGAACACATTTTTAGAATTTCTATGGCTGAATGATGTTAAACATTTTAAAATACATATACTCGCAAATATTATAATAAAACTGCAACCAACCTAGCAGAGGCAGGCACTTCAGAACTGAAACTCGCATAATGAACTGCCACTGGTCAGAGAGAACAAACATTTCAACAGAATTATAATTAAAGTCCTGCCACAGGTAAGACTTATCCACTGCTAGATACAATAGAAAGCGCTGAGTCAATGTGATCCCTTAAAAAAAAAAAGGCTGTGTAAAAAAAGTTGTACAAGAATTGAGCCAAAAAGATTAAAAAATAGAATTTGCTTCGTGATATTTTCATGTTTTGGGTGAAGTCAGACCTTTGCTGTGATGCTGCTTACATGTCCACAGTCCTTTCAAATCCCTTCAGGCCGTATGTGTTTCAGAATTCACAATTCTTCACATTGTGAGCAGGTAAGATAGGGCATATGCTGGATGTTATGAAACATTTGTACAGAATCTGGGGCAATCCCTTTAATCAAACCCATGGTCATTCTTTAGGCAAAATTAACAAAATCCATGAAGTGGTATGAATACAAATTATAACAATCTCAGGTCGGTTCACGTTAGGTTTTACTATCAAATGAATTATGGGACCAAATTGAGAAAGATAAGAAAAGCAACTTCATTTTCAAAGCTTTTTGGGTAAGGACTGTGGACCTGTGACGTCTCTGGCGTCATGATCTCCACTCATCTGCTCTTGTGCCTGAGCTTCACTGGGTTGGGGACATCATCTCCCACCACAGACAGGGGCTTACATCAGTCCAGGCGGTGGATCACCTGCGGTCACAGTACTGTCTATGAGGACACCTTGAGAAATGAATACTGAAATAATGACTATTATTTACTTTTATTAAATGAGGTACCATCTTGGGCTAGATTTCCACATAGACCAGCAGAAGGTGCCAACATGTGAGGAACATTTATGAGAAAAGAAGAAAATTGAGAAAAATGCAGATTCGAATGTAACTGTTTTCTTCACATTAGGAAAATCCAGCTCTTACTCCATTTCAGAGTCTGCACAATATGACTCCAGTTTGCAGACGATGGCTACTTAAGACTGGAAGATTCCCGACCCCACAGGGTCAACCAACCCCCATCAATTGCACTGAAATCATCCCAAGCAACGTATCCATTAAATAGTAATTCCTTTTGTCTTTGATAGTATCCATTAAATAGTAATTCCTTTGTCTTCTCACATCTTGATTAATAAGACCCCATGGATTAGAGCCATTAAACATGCTACTTTTTAAAAAAAATCCTCACCTGAGGACATGTTTGGAGAGAGAAAAGAAATCTTGATTAATAAGACCCCATGGATTAGAGCCATTAACCATGCTACTTTTTTAAAAAAATCCTCACCTGAGGACATGTTTGGAGAGAGGAAAGAAATCAAACCCACAATCCAGGCATGTGCCCTGACTGAGAATCGAACCAGCAACTTTTTGGTGCACAAGGCAGGCCAACGCCCAACCAACTGAGCCACTCTGGCCAGGCAAACATCTTACTTTTAAAAATCAAGTCCAAGAGATTCAAAATCTTAAGATTAAAAAAAAAAAAAAAAAAAAAAAAAAAAAAAAAAAAGGCTTTGCTATTATTTTTAGGTCTTTAATCTTTTGCAGAGTTTTTGTGTTGTTTTTTTTAATAATAAAAATGCTTTCCCCATCAAAAGCAGTGGTCTGTTCTCACCCAAGTGAGCTGGAATGTGCTCTGAACACGCATACTGACTGTGCGAGGAGGGGGTGTCACGACACGATGAAGGTGACTGTCCTTTATCACAGGAGCACAATGACAGGATGAAGCAGGTCACGCTGGCTAAGACTCCTCATAGGCACTTACTGTGGACATCCACTGAATGGACAACACACCCGTGGTCTGGAAACAGCATTCACAGGGCAGGAGTTTCCAGAGCTGAACCGTGCGAGTGGTGACGGCGCTTCCTGAACATGTCCTTCCAAGAGAATGTCCTCAGGGTCGGTGCTGGTCCCAGAAAGAATGGGGTGGACATTTTATTTCAAAAACAAGTATCTTCAAAATCAGCTTTGTTGTCCAACTTTTTTTTTTCTTAATGAGTGAAATTTAAATATGCTATCACCAACCTTTCCTAAAAGCTACATATATACTACAAGACAAATGTCACACATGGTTTTTCTCTTTGTTTTAATTCATGAATGAATTCAAAAAGTCAAGTCAAAAAATTTTAACAGGTCTTTTTTTTTTTTTTACAAAAATATTAGAGGAGTAGAAGCAAAACTGGAAAGGAAGAGATGAGCAGGATAAACTACAATGGAATGAAACTTCACTCATCATGGCTAGTGAAAAAAATTGTAAACGTTAAAGCTTCTAAGATTTTATTTCTCTTCAAAAAACATTTTAGGAAGCTGCCTTTCCCCATGAGTGCAAAATGAGAAGCGCCCAAAGCATCTGAATCTAAAGAAGACAAGAAAGCATTATTTTTCCTACTGGAAAATGCCTACCCCCTTCCCTTCTCTTCCCTTCCCTGCCCTCTCTCATCCCCCTTGGAGTTTTACAGGATCAAAGAGCGAGAGAATCCACGAGGGTCCAGCAAGCAGTGCGGTGAGCCAGGGACATGATTATGCATCCAGACTCACCAGCAACGTGTAAAACTCATCTTGAATAAAATACACTAAATTAAAGAGCGGAAAAAAAAAGGCCCCAGAAACCCATGACTTGCCTTTCATGAAGGTTTAAAAAGTCCTCACAGCATCTTACATGTCATGAAGTGCATTCCTGGACTCAATCTCCATGGGAGAGAAAAGAATAACTAGAGAAAATGTAAATGGCCACCTCTGGAATCCTGTTCTCCACCCAGCTCACACCTATTACTTCCCATATGGTCATCACCTCTCCACCCAGGGAATCAGATGCTCTCCAATCCCAGGTCTGCATAGTCTTAATCATATCACATGGAGTTGAACCTCTACCCCCTCGTTTGCAGTCAGGTTGCCGAAGTCGGCTGGTCCCATCTGACATATTCAAAAGCCATACACAAGTGTCCATGGGCCAAACACTGGGTCCCATCAGGCAGCAAGCTGCTCACATTATTTAGAAATATTCTTTTTCCAAGGTTTAGGCAGTTTTGTCTGCAGTTCCATATTTGGCTCTTTCTATCATGCAGCGACGAATTATGTTGTCAAAACTTCCAAGGTAAAACAAAGAGATCATGCGGAAAAGGCCCATGGTGACCACCTGTAAGATAAAGGCAGACCCGTGAGCTCAGCCAACAGTACAATACAATAGCTTGTTTCAACAGATTTTAGGATATGTCTCTAATAAATAGTTTCTGAGCCCCATCTTCTAATCTCCTGCAAGGATAAGAATAATGAACACTTTGTTAAGTGTCGGTAAACACTGAGGACAGAAGCTGTCTGCTCTGCATCACTGGATACGCAGGGCCTGCCAGATAAGTAACAACAGACTCTATGTCCAATTAACAAATTCAAATTAAACAAAGAACAAAATAGGTTTTCCCAGTAGTTTTGGGGTTCCAGTAGCTGGGGAAAATTCAGTCTAGCATCTCAGATACTCAAACTGCAATCAAGGCTTTTCAGTTGAAGATGTATGTTCTGATCACAAAGCCAGATCCTGGTCAAGTGCTGAAAACAGACACAGGCCTGCCCTCCGGAAGCTTACTCCCCAGTCGGAAAGATGGTCAGTTGGAGAAAGACAATTACTGTTTCAGGGCTAAGATGGTAAATAACCACATCTGCTAACTTTCACTTTTTACTCCAAAAGACTCACTACCACCTCCTCAAAATGGAATTCTTGAAAGGCATAAACCTGCAAAAAGAAACATTTTCAAATACACAAGGTTTCAAACAATTTTCCTCCCACACTCCTTTTTTTCAAGAAGCTACTAGAAGAAGTAAACAGCCAACATGAGGGGACAACAAAGAAAGGCAAAGTCATGTGATACAAGAGGCGGGACCCCATACAAAAGACAGGCAGAGGGGTTCCCCGGGTGACCGTAAAGGGGGAAGGGGTCAGCTATGCAGACATGGGGGCAGCCAGTCCTGATGGCAGGTTCCAGAAGGAATTCCTTCCAGAAGGTGAAACTAACAGGGTATCTGATATTTCTGAGCAAAGATAAAGACTGACATTATTAAAAACACATAAAAATCATAGATTAAAAAAAAACCCATAACGGTTTCAGGGAAAACAAAAGGCTGTGCAAGAAAGGGAAATTAATTATGTATATATTACATAGCTTGGCTGTGAACAGCATTTAAGTAGCCATAAAAATGATGATCCTAATGCAGATGTTAACATCACAGTCCAGGGAAAAGAAATGTATCCAGGAGTGGAGTTCAGGACAGACACGGGCGGAAGCTTTGGATCTGACATCACTTGTGTAGACATGGGAGGATGGACAGGACGGCCCACAGAGGACAAGCAGAATTCACGTGTGGGCTCCACCCAGGCATTCTCGAGTCCCTGTTCCGTGCCAGGCACGGGCTGTGAGGGGGGCAATGTTCCAAGACACAAGGGCACGAGCACGTCCTCAGAGAGCTTACTTCTAATAGAGTGCCTACGTCTGAGAGGGAATCACAGCATCGTGGGTATATTATAGAGAAGAGAAGGATGAGGAAAATCAATAGCTAAGTCATCCAGACTTTTAATCTGGACGTGGTCTACTGCACCTAATTTAGTCCCTTGTTATAAACTATGCATCGCTGTGGACAGCCCTGGTCCAGGCTGCCTTCCCACCCTCTCCTTGTCCTCCATCCACCTGCCATCATCCATAGCGTTGTTTTTCCATGCTTGCTTTACACTGTAGTAGCATCACTGTGCCTATTGGTCTCTCCCTCCAGACTGTAAGTTTACACCTGATTCTCCAGCAGCAAATGCAGCACTGAGCACATCAAGGAGCAGTTGACTGTTTGCATCTTGAATGAACTACAGCATCTGTTCAGGTGGGGATTGTGTTGAATCCTTAACTTGCATCTCCCTAAGCTACCTATGGCCTGACTCACGTAGAAAAGGAGTTCTAGCCCAGCCGGCATGACTCAGTGGTTGAGTGTTGACCTATGAACCAAGAGGTCATGGTTCAATTCCCGGTCAGGGCACATGCCCGGGCTTCAGGCTTGATCCACAGTGCGGGGGGTGCAGTAGGCAGCCGATCAATGATCCTCTCATCATTGATCTTTCTATCTCTCTCTCCCTCTCCCTTCCTCTCTGAAATCAATAAAAATATATTTAAAAAAAAAGAAAAGGAGTTACAGTCTAATATCCCAATACTGTTAGGCAAGACCATTCCTAAACTACTCTAGAGAGAAGAGAATTCCATTTTCCAAACACTTCAGATCAGAGAACCCAGATTGACTCCTCCACAGCAGAGACAGCGTTTTATCTGTATCTGCAGTGCCCAGCACAGAAGACTTCTTCCCAGTCTAAATTCCCCGTTAAATCTTTAACCTATTTCCCAATGACTTATCCCTGGTAAAGGAAGGGAAAAGGTTGATACTTTAAGAAAATTTTTTCACATGCTCAGATCAAGTTGACAAGTCTTCCTTTATTTAGCCTTTACTCATTGAGGTTTAATGAGAGGTGCTGTCTCTCTGTCTGTCTGTCCATCTGTCTGCTGGCCGAGGCACAGCTTACCTGCTGGAGCCCTTCGGTAATAGAAGTGACTGGAGACATTCCGCAGGTCAGGGACGAGAGCATGTACCCATCTGAGCCAACGGAACTGTTAAAATTCCCTTGCTGAACAGAAGGAAGAGAAAAGAAAGAGGCAACAGGAGTTACTAATCACCTCAACATGTCAGTACAGGGAAGTGTGTCCGTTTACTTTCTGTGGGATGAGAGGGTAACAAACCACGTGTTGCAGCTCAGAAACGAACGTGGTCTTAGCAGGGGGACTGGATGGCTAGATGGGAGGTTCTCAAAATGTGGGTCAGTCCATGGGCCGTGGGTGTCCATGGCGGGGGGTGGGAGTGGCGGGGAGGGTCCATGAGGACAAAATGATTGTCATAATAATACCAGAGTGTTAATGGCCTTTTCCACTGAGTGACATTTGCAAAATGCTGCCTCATTAGTAGAAACCATGTTAATAGTGGTGTCTCTCCACCACCACACACACTGGCCATAATAAATCCAAAAAGAAAATAGAAATTTTGAAAAATCTTGTAAAATGTTGAAATGTCAGTTTTGCTTCGAGGAACCAATGTAATAATCTGAACAATAGAGATTTAATTAAAACAAACAAACAAACAAACAAACAAAAAAACAAAACAAAATGGCCTTGATAAGGCAGGAAAATAAACTGTTTTATTAAATTTCAACCCTTGAAGAAATGTCTTCTGTGTAACAAAAAGGGAAGTATGTGCCCAGCTGTGTGCCAAACCTGAGGGGCTGCTGTCCTGAAATGTAGGGCTTACGTGGTGAAACGTGCTGCTTTTTTCATGGAATACCATCTTTACATGAAAGAACCATCATCAGACCACCTGTGGTTATTCAAGCTCAGTCTTTGGAAGATATTTTGTGGAAAATTAATGATATGGGTAGTTTTTGTGGCCAGTGCTAAAATCTGAGCTTTCCATTAAACTGTCAGCTTCCCGGTATGTGAACTTTTATAAGATCAGCAGCGACATTAACAGATGTAATTTCTTGGATAACTCAGGGAACTCATATTTTCCAAATGACTAATGCATGACATTCCCAAATCATGAATGGGTACAAAGCATTCAAAGTGCAGAGACCAATGGGTTTTAATGCAACAGAGAACAAAAAGTTCATTAATCGAGTTTCCAATTCCACACTGCAACTAAACTTTAAAGAAACTACTATTCATCCAGTTTGGGTTTAATACTAAAAAAGAATGTCCACCGTGATCTGAAAAAACCTATAAAATACCCCTCCACTTCTAACTACACATGTGTGTAAGGCCAGATTTTCTTTATATCCTTCATTCAAAACCACATATGACAACAGATTGAATGTAGAAGCAGCTCTGAGAACCCAGCTGTCTTCCAGAACACAGACATTGAAGAGACTACCGAGGTATAAAACAAAGTCTCTCGTCTCACCAAAGGTTTGTTCTGAGAAATAATTATGGTTGTAAAGATGTTACATTAAAATGTAACGGGTTTATTACTGGTTATTTTAAATGAATTACTAAATAAATATTATAAAAATTACAGTTTCCACTTCTAATATGGCAAATATAACCGACGTAAACCAAAATTCTCTGAAGTTGTCAACCAGTTAGAGTGTAAAGGGGTTAAGAGGTGAAGAAGGTTGAACACTGCCGGCCGAAATACATCCTGCCAAGATACAAAGAGTGTTTGAGATCATTAAAAACATGGAGTGTGTTTGCTCTGACTTCAGATAAGCAGGAAAAACAGAGTCCGAGGTGCCCTCTTTCTGTGCCTCTGAGCACAGCAGGGCAAAGTTCTCCCAACGTCTGCAGGTGTCTTAATAGAGTTTGAGATTTCCCGTATTCTGCTCAGGTCGGCCCAGACATGGTGTCCTGACACATCTCATTCCAGGGGTCCCCAAGTTTCCTAAATTCAGTGTGGGTCTCAGGTTTACAGAGATCCCTCATAATTGGCTGTTTTTCGGCACTGGGGTCACAGGAATGTTGTCAAAAGCCTGCAGCACATGCACTGTTCTACAAATCAGCCTGTGGTTTGACTTTTTTTTTTTTTAAGTTCAAATAAACTCAGTAGCCCAAATGCACATCCGCTGGGTTAACGGGGATGGCCCAGGGGCTGGCTGCACTTTCTTACTAGCGAACATTTGGGAAAAGGATTCTGGGAAGCAGGAAGGTGAAAGAAAAACCCAAGAGTCTGGCAATAAGATACCTAAAATAATCTGGAACTGAAAGTCCTGTGGGAAAGAAGAAAGGCGGCAGCATGCCATGTGCAGTGTAGGGAACATGTTGACACATCACAGAAAAGCCGCATTTTCTTGTTAAAGAATCAACACTCCCAGACACCCATCCTGGTCAGTCTGTCCTTAGGTTAAGATATATAATTCATTTCCAGAAGCCTACTTATTAACATGGAATCGATAATGTGTGTCAGGGGAGAAGAGCAGAGTCCCATATTAGATGTGATGAATCTGACTGACCCAAAAGACACAATAGTTTATGTTCTGAAATAGGCCTTGGGACAAATATCTTTTCAGAAGCACAGAAGCTATTAATAAAGAAAACCAGGACAACTTACTATGGCATCTTTAACAATCTGTTTGGCCACTTGCTCTGGTGTGCAAATAGACGTGGTCTCTGAAATAAGACGGGTTTCCAAAGGCTAAAGTGGAAAAAATAGACGCGTCAATACCATTCATTAAAACATCAGTCATTCTTACACAGCCACCTCCCCTGGCTTATAAAATAATTCCAATTTTCTACCTTTGAGTAGATTCCTATTTTGAGAATTAGGTCCACCTGGATCCTAAGTCAGTTTCTACCTGGTCATTGTGTAAAATTGAGCCAGTAGCTGAACCCAGACAAGGAGGCCCTGGCCACACTCTCTGTGGGATGTGGGGGTCTCGGCTCCAATGGAGACCATCAAAGCTTGAATGAGAACAAATCACTGGTGCAAGACCAGAAACACCCCCTCCTTGAATCCTCGCTGCTGGCCAGACAGCTGACCGATGGTATTGGTGCAGAGCCTAGACTGGGTGCCCTGAGTGAGTTCGCTCTTATGACCTGCTTTCTGTTCTCCCAGGCCACTGGAGGGCTGGCACTGGGCAGAGCTGAGGTCCTTAGCAGAGACAGCAGTAGCTCTGTCCAACACCGCAGCTGTTTCTCAAAGGACCTGCAGAGGAGGCAAGGAGGAGACTGGAAGATAAAATATTGTGTGCTCGTTACTGGGTGAGGGCATCAGAACCCCAAATCTTAACCTTTTGTTAAAGGTCCATCTCAATTATCACCGAGGTCAAAAAGCCTTTCCTGAACCCTTAAGTGGCAATAATTTCTCTTCCCATCTTTGAACATATTTGCCTTAATATATATTATAGCTACCTGTGTATTTACAATTTACTTCCTAAGTTCTTTGTGGATGGGATCTCCCCCCCACCCCCCACCCCCCGCTTTTTTTTTGGTCTTCTTTATGGCACACACACACTCAAAAATTCTTTAAAGGAGAATTTCAGAAGTTTCAAAACTGAAGCCTTAAAATGCATGAAACTGTAAACTTTATTTATCATACAGGCTTAAAAGAATTAAAATTAAAACCAAAATATATATTCTTAAAATAGAAAGGCACCGCACTTCATAAAAGGCCAGCACTGAATTAAGAGAAAGACCCTTTTGAAGGTGTCATCATTCTCATTCATTCTTCCAGACCATCAGGCTGGTAAAATCACATGTGGCTGGATACACATTAGATTTGAAAGCACTATGGCGCCCCCTAAAGGGCTCACAGACCATCCCAGGATTTGATTTTCCACAAGAAGTTGGCCCAACATTTTAGTGGAGGGAAAAAAAACACCAACTTAACATCAAAACAAAGTCTTCACAGGGAAACAGGGAAATCACCTGTCAGCGTTGGCTTCACACTAAGAGACTGCTTAGCAAATGCTGCAAATCTGCTTAGCAGACTCCCTGCTTATTCTAAAACAAGACGTTTGGCTTACATTTACTTCTTTGAAATAAATTCTTTAAAAGAGACAGAGCCGTAGAGAAATGAAAAAAGCTTCTAAGTCATAAACACCTTTTAGCAAATGTATGGTCTATGGAGCATAAGTGCCCGTTTTTATGCCGTGCAGATTCACAGTAAGCATTAATAGAAAAGGGAAGAAAAACAAGCCAGGCCAGTTCAAGGCGATAAGTTCTGATTGATTCCTTTCTTCTCCACTTTATTCATTTGCTCAGTGACTACTATGTGTCAAGGCACAGAGGAAGCTCCTTTGAACAAAATGCGAAGATCGTATTCAGCTCAGGATACGATCCTATATAAACCGAGAGTCCTATATACACTGCAAAGGCCCAGTGGTGACAAGCACCACGAAGGAATAACAAAGCCAGAGGATGCTGGCAGAGACGCAGAGGGCAGGGAAGTGACCTCTGTACAGGGAAGGGAAGAAATAAGGGAGTGGGCCATTCAAACATGCAGAGGGACAGCAAGAGCGAAGCCCGCAGGTGACGGCAGGCCAGGCAAGCTCACGGAACTGAACGTAAGAGGAGGAGAAAATGCTGTGGCAGCCAGGTGGCCGGGTCCAGACACTGCGGGCCTGTATTAGCATCAAGGCCTTCGGAGTCTGTTCCAGGCATGGTGGGAGCCACCGGAGCCGCGCTCTCCAGTACACAGCCACTGCCAACATGCAATGTTTAACATTAACTTTGAATTAGCTAAAATTAAATAAAATTAAAAATCAATTTCTCAATCCCACTTGCCACATTTTGGATGCTCAAGAGCCATAACGTGACTACCATATTAGAGAGTGAAACATACAACATTTCCGTCATTCTAGAACATTCTATCGGACTGTGTTACCCAAGAGGTGTTTGGTCTTTTGTTTTTTTGTGTGTTTTTTGTCTTTTTTCACAAGGAAATTTTAAGCAGGAGAGTGACAAGACCCAACTTAAGTTTTAAGAAGGTCACTAGCGACTTCATGAAGAACAGATCCCAAGGGAGATGAACAGAAGCAGGCAGACCAGTTTGAAGGCTAGTAAAGTAGTTCAGGCAAAAATATCAGTGACTGCCACTGCTAGAATGGTAATGACATGTGCAGTTAAAAGAAAAAAAATCAGGTCAGATTCTGGATATGTTCTGACTGTGGAACCAAGAGGGAGAATCAAGCTGGCAATTCATCTCCACCTGAGCAGCCGGGTGAGCGGTGGGCGCCTGGTAATGAAATGAAAATAATGAGGGGGAATCAAAAGATCCATTTTGGAAATGTTACGTCTGAGATGCCCATTAGAACTCCACAGGGACACAATGGATCAGCAACCAGGTCTTTAAGTTCAACGGAGAGAATATGGTTTTTAAAGAATATCATCTCATTAGTTAAAAATACAGGCCGTCCTTTCCTTCATACAGAAAATATCTTATTAATTCAATAAGGCTTCAAAGATTATTAGCAAAACTCATGGCTTTTGAAAATATGGCTGCATTGTCCAAGATTTGGAATGGAAGTTACAGAAAGTTCAGAGGCCTCTCTAGCTAGCACATAAATTGAAAGGAACTCAATTTTCTGACCGATAAAAATGGCCTGTGGGCTAAAATGTGAAAAGAACAAATCAGAAGAGGGTTTTCCAGCATTAAAGACTAGCATACTTACCTTTGTTTTGTTTTCTTCTGCAAACCCAGGTGTGTCTGTGTCAGGCGGGTAGGCGACGGTTACATAGACATTATATGGCTTCACCTGCATTTCAAAAACAACCATTGTTTCTTCAATAAACAAGACACAATTTCACGCCCACCTCGCCAGCTTGCATTGGGTGCCAGGCATGCATACAAAATAAATACTGCCCTGATTTTCTCAAAGGTGGCCAAGACCAACAGGTGGTTCTGCAAGAGCAGGACCACTACCCACTGAGTCAGGAAATGTTTAGAAATAAAGACAAAAAGCTCATCTTAACATCCACTCCAGAACACAGCTGGTCCCAAGGTATGGCCATTCACCTCCTTCTTCCTCTCTTCCCTCCCACTGCTGTCAGTGACAAACAGACCTCGGTCTGCTCCTCCGCCATCAGACTGCAAATCTGTTTTCCTTCATGCTGCTTCTGAAACTCTTGCTGATTTCATCAACCAAATATATTGAGGTCACTCAGATCCCTTCCAGTGCCCTTCTAGCGATACCCAGATGCAGGTCTAGAACTACGTGCACCCCCTCCGCCCCCGTCAGCCCAGCCAAGCACCTCCCCTTTGGATAGCCTCATCCCTCATTTACACATAGAAACCCTTCCAGCTTCTCTTCATAGCTCCCTCCCCGACCTGGAAATCCACCTGCTCCTGGATGGTATAGATCAGTGGTTCTCAACCTGTGGGTCGAGACCCCTTTGGGGGCCGAACGACCCTTTCACAGGGGTCGCCTAAGACCATCGGAAAATACATATATAATTACATATTGTTTTTGTGATTAATCACTATGCTTTAATTATGTTCAATTTGTAACAATGAAATTGGGGGTCACCACAAAATGAGGAACTGTATTAAAGGGCCGCGGCACTAGGAAGGTTGAGAACCACTGGTGTAGATTAACACACTCTTAGGCTTGTTGACCTCACCAACATACCTCCACACTTAAACTTCCCCACTCATTAACATCCTCAAGAATTCCAGAAAGTTCTCCTGCTGGTCAGGTGGGATACAACCTTCCCAAAGCCCTGCTCCACCTAATTCTTAATGACTCTAAGGGTGATGGTTCACACCATCAAAATCTCTGCCATGACTTGTTTGCTATTGGCTCAATGTTTGGTCCCCATGAGTTGGAAGTGGGCAGGCAGCTGGTAGTGAAGTTGGCCACTGTGTGTCTTAAGGATGCTGAATAAACACAACAGGGCTGCCTAATGCAACAGCCTCCCAGAGTACCCCAGGGTCCTTCTTTTCATAGAGCCCTTTTCTCCCCAGATCCCGCCGGGAGTACAGTTCTGATGTCTGTAGGAGGATCTGTAAGGGCCCAGAGAAACCTGCAGACAGAGGGTCCTGGCCAGCCAGCCTGGAAAGTGCAACCGCAGAGGTGACATCTCTGTTGTTTGGGCTCCGGTGCACCTAGGGCCTGAGAGCTCCTTCACTCCGCGCAGGCAGGGCATGTAGCTTCAAGGCCAAGCTACCTCATAAGGAGCTCTGGATTTGGGCCAGGTGGTGAGGTTGATGAGCAAGCAAGTTCTCTTCCACTTGTTTTTAAGAGAGTGACTTGAAAAACTGTCTCCCATGGCCTTACCCTCTGTTGTGCACAGACCAGAGAACACATATGTGGGATATAAAACTGAAAGCAACAAACAAGACAAACAAACAAGCAAACAAAAATGCATCGACACAGACAACAGGACGGTGGTTACCAGAGAGAAGGGGGGGGAGGGTAGCAAAGGGAAAAAGGGGTCAAATATATGGTGATGGAAGAAGAGTTGACTTTGGGTGGTGAGCACACAACGATATAGATGATGTATCATAAAACTGTTCACTTGAAACCTATATAATTTTATTAACCAATGTTACCCCAATAAATTCAATAAAAAAAGAAAAAATTTTTAAAGCCAATATGTGGTCATTAGCCCCTATAAAAGCTGATGCTTATGATTCAAATGTGGTCACTTCTGTGCTGCCCGTCTCCCCAACAATAAGGATGGTGGCACATAAGCCAATGTAAGAGAGCATTTCAAAGCAGTGTTTCTCACACTCAAGGTCATGGCTATGCTCCCAAATAATTAAAACAGTGTTTCAAAACAGTGTTTCAAAATGTGGGAAGAGTGGAGTCAGAGGGACTGAGTAGGGTCAGAACAAGAGATGGAAAGGAGGATCCCTAGTTTTCTTTTATTTGGTCTCTGCTTTCCCCAAAAATTAACTTTAAAAATTTTTAAATGATGTATTTGTACCTGAGACTGATTTTTTAAAAAGATAAACAAATGCAACAAAGCAATGTTTCAAAAATTACTCATTGTACATAAAACATTTCTAAGGCCTGACTTTAGTTTTGGTGGAGTGGACAGGAGGACTTAAGAGTTAAACTAAAAAGGATTATCCAAAGTACGTAGCGTAGCGTTTGAGCAATTCTATAAGGTCTGTTTCATTCACAGAAAACACCACCACCTTGGCCGCACAGATTCAATTACCCAGGTTTCAAAAACACAACACCGGAAGTTTGCAGGGAAATATTTGTTTTGAGGCATGTTCTACTATGAATAAACTTCCACATGTGGATTATTGAACTTATTTCCCCCAAAACCTATTCTTCATGGTACAAGTTTACTTCATTTTAGATTCTGTTTACATGAGGACATTTTTAATGGAGTCCAAATACGGACAGAAGTCAAGCCGACTGGCAGGTGGAGGCCAGCTACTTGCAGCGTGTGAATCCCTCTTGTCACAAAGAGGCTGCAGGGACTCTGCACCTGCTACTGATGTTGTCCCTCTTCTTCATGAACATCTCCGTTCTACTGGAAGTGAAACCAGGCCGCCCACATTATACACTTTGTCCTAAATTAGTGAAACCTGAGGTGGCTCCACAAGACACCATGTAGGGATGAAAAGCCCTAGTGAGCATATCTGTTATTTCCAAAATATCCCTGTCCAGGACTGAGGCCACCAGCCAGATGAATCAGGCCACTCCTGACCTGAATTATAGACGCATCTTCCGCTGCAGGACAGAGGCAAACCTGAACCCCAAAGCATGGTCTTTGTTACTATTTCGGTACAAAGTCACATGTGGCTTTGAGCAACTCCATGAACTTCCTGAAACTCAGATTTCTGATCTATAAGGTAACATCATCTGCCTCACATATTTCACAAAACTGTCATAAAAGTAAAATAGTGATTCACAAAGGGACTTTTCAAAGTAAAAATTGCAAAAGGAATGCCAGTATTCTTGTTTGAAATTTCACAGTCGTATATGTCCTCTTGGCTAATCATATTATAATGACCTATTCTTTTTTTGTTATTATTAATCCTCACCCAAGGATATTTTTTCCACTGATTTTTCAGAGAGAATGGAAGGGAAGGAGAGAGAGAAACATCAATGTGAGAGAGAGACATTGATTGGCTGCCTCCAGCATGTGCCCCGACTGACTGGGGACTAGGCCTGCAACGGAGGTACACACCCTTGACTGGAATTGAACCTTTGACCCTTCAGTGCATGGGCCAGCACTCTGTCCATTGAGCCAAACCAGCCAGGGCATAATGACCTATTCTTTTTTTTTTCTTTTTAAGATATTTTTAGTGATTTCAAAGAAGGGAGAGGGAGAGGGAGAGAGATAGAAACATCAATGATGAGAGAAAATCATTGATCAGCTGCCTCCTGCACACCCCCTGCTGGGGATTGAGCCCACAACCCGAGCATGTGCCCTTGACTGGAATTGAACCCAGACCCTTCAGTCCATCGCTGATGCTCTATCCATTGAGCCAAACCAGCTAGGACAACTTGCTTAATACTCTTAATCAGAAATAGGTCAGCATGGCCCTATTAAGAGCATTAAGCAAGTTGATGAAAGTGAAATTTGGAGCTGGTTCCTTTGAGAGGAGAACAGCACAGTCTATGGGTCCCTAAGTGGCACCTCAGGATTGTCACTGACCAGACAACTCATCTACCATAACGCTCGTCCAATACCTAGGCAGTGTGGCTCTCTGTCACATGCCATCAAGGGCTCTTGTAGGAATTTTCTAAATCGGGGATCAGCAAGCTTGGTCTGATGATCAAATCTGGCCCTTCACCTTGTTTTATAAATAAAGTTTTATTGGAACACAGCCATACCCATTCATTTACGCATTGCATATGGCTGCTTTCCTGCTATCAAAGGAGACTTGAGTAGTTATGACAGATACTGCCTAATTCTCGAAGGCTAGAATATTACTGTCTGGCCCATTACAAAAAAACTTTCCTTCCCCTGATCTAAGTCATTAAATGGGATTCTAAAATCACACTGTTACTAGGAGAGGGTTGGCCACAATGAATTCTCTTCTGGGTTTTAACATTATGATGTGTTATATTTCTGTATATATGGCAATAGTGAAATTTTATCTTGCCTTTTTCAGTATGTGACTTAGATAGACATGTGTGCAGGTTTCTAAGCATTCCCAGGTGACAGGAATGCAGAAGTCTACTTCACATGGCTAAGGTGTGAGGCTGTCACTCATGATAAGCACTTACTCTGATACTAACCCTAGACTCACCTTATTCCACAAAATGTGCCATGAACTGTGAAAATGAAAAGCAATCATTTTCATCAATCGCTCTTTAAGAAATTAAAATATAAGTACTAGGAGAGCCAAGTGATTTTTTTTTTCAGTCCAACCTTCTCATTTTGTAAATAAGTAAACTGAGAGGATGTTAAATGATTTATCTAAAAGCTGAGAGCTGGCCAGCTTGGCTCTCCCCTCAAACACATCCTGATTTTATTATCCAGTTACAAAGAACAGATCTTTTTGTCACAGAAACATCTCTAGAGACTAAAATATTTGGTTAACCCTGTTACACATACTCATACAGTATTAGACCAATAATACAATGAAGACATTAGGAGTATTTTGTGTATTAAATTAAGCAAGCAAAAACCTCACGACCATTTTTCTCACCACAACTACAATCATTTTATGCAATGAAAATGTTAACTATTTAACAGTAAAATTCAGGCATTGAGCCAATTCTCTTTCACTAATGTCAAATCTACAAATTGTAATTCCATATAACAACATGTGTAAAGAAGTTACAAACAAGGAGAGCATTTGCTGAGCTGCAAGAAATAAATATAAAACCGAATACAGCATTTACCTCCATCTGCAGAGCTTCAGCCAAACCCTTGATGGCGAACTTGGACGAAGAGTAGGCGGTGAAACCGAAGAGTCCCACCTGTCCCGCCTGGGACGCCAAAAAGACGATCCTGCCCACCCGGCGCTCCTTCATGGTGGTGATCACAGCTCGGCTGGGGTACACGCTGCCCAGGTAGTTAATGCTCATCAGTTTCTGCAGGGAGCAAAGAGGCCATGAGGAATGAGAAAGGTCAAAGACACAAGACTGCACTCCTGGGAATTCAATCTGCCCCCCAGATTGCAGTTCTTCAATGGAGCCCAACTGACTGGGAACTCAGTGGATTTGATGAATGAACGAATGATTAAATGACCCTGTCAATGAACCATGATGCTCAGGATCTACTATTTGAAGTTTGTTTCAACCTGGTCTTGCATTCTCACCACGACCACAGTTCTGTCTTTGCTGAAAATGGGTTAAAACTAGTTTTCTCCTTGCAGGTAATATTTTTTGAAAAACAGTTTTAGGAGTAAGCTTCCAAATATGTCGAGGCCGTTAGTTCCAAGCTAAAGAAAGATCACAAAGAGCCTAGGACAGTGGTTAACAGCATGGATTATGGTTTGAAGACTGGGCTTTACCATTTACTACCTACTTGATGATAAGTAAGAAAGTCAAACACTATACTTATTTCTGCGGCTGAAAGCTGGGTTAAGAATAGTATTATCTCATAGCGCTTGCAAGGATTACAAGAGGAAACATAAGTTGGGTGCTAGCACAGCCCCTGATCCACAATAACTACTCAGTAAATGTTGGCTCTTATTTGTGATGGGTAAGACCTTACATAAGTATCAACAGTATATTTCCTCTCATCCTGGGAACTCTAAAAAAACTTACATTTTACCTTGAAAATCTAAGACTACTTACATTAAAATGTTTTTATGTAAAAAATCTTGTACAAATATTAGATCTATCACCATATAAAACCAAACACTTCACTGGGGGAACTTTGAGTCAATCATGAAATAACTCAATAGAACGTTAGATAACTTTTAGAAATAATGACCAGAAACACCAGGAGGGAGAATATTTATTCTGTAAGTTTAGAAAAAGCCAAGGGCAGACTGCATTTACACTGACTATAACTATCTCAAATAGTAAATACAAGCACATGTGCACAGGTATAAAACCAAGGAAATATACCAAAGAACTTATATGCATATATGTCTAACCCACAGACAATAGTGTGGTGAAGGCTGGGGGGAGGAAGGGGGTC